CGAAGGAGAGAGGAGAGGGGGCAAGTCGACCTCCAGATCTGTTTCCCAGTCTATCAGCCGTGGTGCAGTGGGCGGAGCTCCAATCTGCGCTCTCACCATCCACGGCCAGCTCCCTCACGGTGGGCACTGTCGCCGGCTCTCACACCTGGTCTGACGGGTGGGGCTCCACATCTGGGGCGATCCTCCGCTCAGTCGCTCGGCATTGCGCTGGCTCATTGATCGCGGCGGAGTTGGGCTCTCCGTCATCGGTGGGCTTGACACTGGGTCTGGAGTGGATCTGGCAAGATCATCCACGGGGCAGGTGGTGGATGGAGATCCGTTTCTCGCCAGAGCCCACTCCACGAAGGCGGTGAAATCCTCTCGAGGACCATCTTCGGACGACGGCGCTCTGCTCGCGGTGTTCAAGCTCACGTCAAAGAATGAGCTGGTGGTGCTAGCTAACAGCCGGAACAGTCTCATATGGTCCTCGAGAGATCTGTCCCCCTGCTCCAGCAGGAGGAGGAGGAATTCCGGGCGGGTGAAGGGGAAACACAACGGAAACAAAAACAATGAGAGAAAACGGAAACAAAAACAGAGGGTAGACACACGGAGGTAACTGTATTCGGTAGGGGTTTCTGTCACAATTCGCTGTGGGAGGAACGAGAGAGAAATGTGGAGTACAAGCAAAAGTCTTTAATCCAGGAATCACAGGGGATAATCCACAACAGGAACACGGGAAACACACAACATCCAACAAGTAGACCCGACAGAGGAGAAATGCACAGACAATAACTTATAAACACAGGACAATTACCAAACACAGGTGCACAGAATGACTAATTAACTCAACGAGGACAGGAACATGACCAAAAAAGGGAACACAGGAACCGAAACAGGAGCAAAACGTAATGACAGGTATAGCCATAAAGTAAATAGTAATAACATGAGGACCGAGGAACAGATATAGTGTTATGGAGAGTGCAAAAGGTGATACCGGGGTTTAGGGGGAACAGCTGCCACCCCTCAAGCAGATACTTTACACAAACTGTTTCAGTAAATCCCCCATCTGTTAAAATGAGGGCCAGGAGTGTGTAAGTGAATTTCAACTCATTTTGGCCAAAGGCATTGCATGGCTGAAGCAAAATGTGTGCATATGTGTTTGTGTGTGACGATGAGCATGTGTTCTTGAATTTGTGTTTCAGTGACACCATTGTTCTGAGAAAGCGTGACAGTGTAACAGTACAGCCTGTTATATTGCACTGCTTTAGAGGTGACCTAATATGGTTAATTTTAATTGTGTGGTATTTGAGCATCAACAAAACAAAATCTATTTATCACATGAAGTTCAGCACCATGAGCCATTCATTAGTGGTGTTTGCTAAGGTCAAGGTTTGGATTGTGATGGATTGTGAATAGCGCAATTTACCATTTTCACCCTGCTGGTGAATGCTGCAATTACACCATCTAGTTATAAAAGCTTTGATAACCATTAAAATGAACAATATATTTATATATTAAATATACTGATTAATCATACAACATTTACAGCTCAGGTTCTTGACTCAAAATGTTTTGTTACCACAGCCAAATATATATAAAAAATAGAGCAATAGAGTCCACTTTGACTAAGAGGAGAATCACTATTATTGCTCAATGGTTAGGAAATTGAATAAGTTTTTATAGCATAAAAATGTACAGACCAAACTAACTTAACCTAAGAAGATCTGAAACAAACATACTCATACATAGCCTGAGCTGTTCAAAGCTAAAATCACTAGGCTGCCACTGTTCAAACATCAAATATATATACAGTATATATATATATATATATATAATCTCTGTAAACTGTGATCTACAGTCTACTAAACTGTATAAGACAGACCCCAAAGGTGCTTTGAAGGAAGACTTAGGGGACAGACTTCAGTGTAGCTCCATTATGTGCAAGAGTCTGTGTGCTGTGAACAGCTGATACAGATTGAAATGTCATGGATTACACACACACACACACACACACACACACACACACACACTACTTTTATATGTTTTATACTTTTACCTTGTATATGTTTTATTTACGTTAAAGGTAGATCGTTATGTTTTATGTATATGTAGTTTGGGTCAGATTTTATTTTATGTTTTTGAATGAAGACTTTTATGCTCAAATATATAGTAATAACAGTAAAATTGAGAAATACTGCACTTTTCAAAATAACTGTTTGTTATTTTAATATATTTTAAACTGTTTTATTTATTTATTTTTTATTGACAAAGCTGAATTTTTAGCATCATTACTCCAGTTTTCAGTGTCACATGATTATTCAGAAATCATTCCAATATGCTGATTTGACATTTCTTATTATTACTAATGTAGAAAACAGTTACTACTTAATATTTTTGTGGAAACTGATACATTTCTTTGATTCTTTGATGAAAGTTCAAAAGAACAGCATTCATTTGAAATTGAACACAATGAGAGTTAAAACTTGCACAATTCAAGAGATTTAAGAAATCCAAGGAAAGCAACACAGTTTTATTGAGACTCTCAAACAGAATTCTCGAGTGAGAATATGATCCATATCATCTTTTATTTTTTATCTCTTAACAACCATAAATGGCAACATTAAACTAGTTGAGCCCATAGGGCACTTTCAATGCCCCTAAAGAGACCTAACACATCTCTCCATTTTCACTCCAGCCATGTCCATTTAACCCACCAACTGTCTCTTTCTATAAAAAAAGTCTACTTGGGCAGTCTACAAGTGTCTCTCTCTCTGTCTTTCTCACTCTCTCACTATGGATTTGAAATAGCCCTAGTTGCCTCATTTAAGTTGGTAAAATGACATGGCTTCCCGTCGGCTCCAATCTTGAGAGGAGGTGCTGCAGTAGGGGTTTGTATGCACGCTCATGCATGTGTGTGTGTGTGTGTGTGTGTGTGTTTCCAGCAGTGAGGTTCTGGGGCATTAATGACACTGACTCCACATGGGAACCACCAACCATCATCATTTCTATCCTTCCCGTATGTCCTCTTTGCTTCAAGGTCATTCACAATGACTGACGCAAAAAATAAAATACACACAGGCAGAGTAACACGCTATTAGGAACTATGTGTTCTCAAAATTGACTAGTCAGGGGCTTGCCTGAAAGACTAGTTGACTTTAGGTTTTAAGGAAGGCCTGTATAATTATGTTGCTTTCAAATGTTTCTCAGTTGGAACCTTTGCGTTAGACATGTTCATGTGTTCAAAAATAGCTAGACAAAGCACAAAGAAATCGAACAGAACAGCCCAGAGATGTTTCTTTTTCTCAGACATAAATACTTAAAAAAAAAAAAAAACAATGTAGGATGCAACGCATGACCAAACATTTCAAAATCTGTTGAAATGTTATCACAAGTCATTTATGAGATTAAATTGATATATAATAATAATTGATATAAACATAAAGACATAAAGAATAATAATTGGAATAATGTATAATGGGATAATAAAGTAGAAATAATGTCATTCTTATGATCTTATAATTTCATCCTATTTTTTAAAATCTCATATTTGACTGAGTATATCATAATGTTGACTTTTCATGGCATACTAATGACTTTTTATGTCCTAAAATGTTTTCCATAGATTAAAAATTTTTATTTTTTATTTTTTTTGTTACTATTTTGACTAGATGACCATTGTGGAAAAATATAAATTGATCAATAAATGATGAATAAAGTGTTGTAGATTAATTGAATAACTTAAAAACATTGACAATTGTAATTGAAAATCTCTGTGCTTGTGTTTTTCATTTCATTTAGTAATTTAGCTGTATTACCATTATGTTACATTTGCATTAAACCGTGAAGAGCGATGCTGTTATTCACACCATCATGTTTGAGACAAAACAAAACAGAACAAAACAAAAAAAAAACTAATATTAATAAATAATATTTATAATATTAATTATAATATTACTAAATGGTATACATTTTCCATGGAGGTAAATGTTTTTATGAGATGCTGGTTTGTTGCTTGTTCTCTTTGATTTCCTTACATTGCTTTCATTAACAAAGCCTAGATCATTATTTTGATACTGTGATGTTGCGCTTCCTTAAAAATTGGCCAATAACTCCATTTAGTTTACTCGCCTAGGCCATTTTTTACTCACACTTGGAGTGTTAGAGTTTCTTCACACTCCCTAACAAACACCAGCAGTTTAAACATTCAAGACTTGGAATTAGATGTTGGGACACAAAATTGTTATGTTCACACTGACCCCACAAACATGAACACAACAACCATTTCTTGTCATCTTTGAGGCAACATAAGTAGCCTGTTCATTTTGAACTGATTCTTCCTGAAATGCTTTCAGATCAGTGTCAGTCTCGATTCTGTTCGCTCAGAGGTTTCAAATATCAATCCAATGAAACATCATCTGAACACAGTTTCAATAGTTGTCTTGTCCTGCACGTTTTTCTTTCTCATTAGCTTTGCTCCGCTCACCTGGAGCCGTGTTCCTGCGTCTGTCTGCTGCTCAAAAATTCAGTCCCCAAGCCGTCATCAATGGGCAGAAAGTGTGCAGTCATTTAGTTAATTAAAATGATTTTTGATGTTTCCTGCATTGTGCTTTACTATAATGAAATATTTGAGCAAGTGTTATGGAAGATACGTCTAATAGATCTATGTTTCTAATTTATTGGTAACTAAAGCAGTTTTTTTCCTCCACTGGGATATTTCAACTTTGTTGAATCCTGAGAAATTGTCTGTAACAATATATTATCTTAAGTTGAAAAGGTCTATTAAGCTCACCAAGGCCACATTTCAGAAATGCAGAAAAACATTAATATTGTGAAATATTATTATTATTATATATTTTATTTTAATATGTTTTAAAATGTAATTTATTCCTGTGATGGAAAAGCTGAAGTTGCTAAAGATATAATAGTTAGTAAAATAGTTGCTAAACAGTGATTTATTCACCCCCCCCCCCCAAATAAAGATAGAGATCGAAATAAAACAAAATAAAATCAAATGAATTAAAATAAAATCTTACTGAACCCGAACTTTTGATTGGTATAGTATTTTGTATTTGGCACAAACAGCAGCTTTGGCATTGATGGTATAAAATGCCATTGTTCTTGTGTCTCTTTTGGATCTCTCTCTTGTGTTCTCTATGTCGTTTTACAACTTTCTATGTTTAAAGATGCACAAAAGTGAATAATATTTGAGGAAAACTACAGAATTTCAGTGAATAATGTCTTAAATGATGCAGCTCCTATATATATATATATATATATATATATATATACCCACTGTATATTATATACACACCTCTTTCATCACTATTTGACTTCATCCTAAAAAAAATACAATATTTTTCTCTTTTCTTTCATCTTTGTCTAGCTTGTACTTACTTGAACAATGCATGAAACTTGGTATGACGAGCACTTCCTGTGTCTGTTTGCCTCTTTAAGATCAATCTCTTGATGTATTCCCCAATCACTTTGGATAAAAGCATCTGCTAAATGAATAAATGTAAATGCAAATATGTATATATGTATATATATATATATATATATATATATGAAACACAGCTGCTGAAATGTAGCCTGAATGCATTTTGAACGTGTCAGTGCATTCTGTGCACAATTAACCTTGTCTTACACGGGACTGTTAAAGAGATCCCCGTGCATCTGTGACGCACCCTGGTGTACTGAGCTAATATTGAACCCGACCCACGACTCTCACAGTGTGATTTTTCCATACCTGCTGGGAGACATTTGCATCCTGTCTGATTTCATCAAGTCTGAGACCCAGCACGCCCTGGTTAGCCACCGGTCTGTTGCCGGGATGGATGACTATACTTGCACAAGTGGACGCTGGGAAAACAAGAGTGTGTGATCACTGGTACATCACACTGATTAAAAGAGCACCTGTGTATGAGGAACGGACCCCAGAAAGAGGAGAAAGGGCTTAGGGTGAGAGGCATCTGCCTTATAACACAGGCAAACAGATGGACACTTGTGTGGGGGTCCTGCGGTGTTGGTTTATAAAGCATTTAGATTTATATTAACTGCTTTGAATAGACATATCTCATATTTAACAACCACTGCAAAAATATATATTCTGGTAAACAGACTTAGAATGTAAATTACCTTTGTGGAAAACAATTAGTGGCTCATTTGTGGCAAATGATCGTAACCAAAAACTGACTCACAGCTCATTTAGGTACTGATGGCTTTGAACAGTTCACTTGCTGCATCCAAAATTGCATCCTGTCTGAATAGGTATACTCCAATTGATGAAAACCTTATTTTGCAACTGTTAAAAAAGCATATGCATATAGCTACAGTATATAACTTTGAGGAAAACAGTAGCATATTTGTGGTAAACGTTTGTAGCAAAATGTTGGTAAATACATTTGCCAAAACAACCAAAACAAGCGGTGTCATCAGATTAATAGGCACATGATTCTTAACAACTGGTTCTTTTTTTAAATGAATCAGTCAAAATAATTCTCAAAAACTGTCTTGAACTCGCCTGTGAGTTGTGATATGGTCAAGGTTTTAGGTTGTTGTCTGGTAACCTTAGGTTTTATATTACAGGTAATAGGTTGTTGTAGATATATCAAAGTAACAGTTTATTGTTTATTTCAAAATTCAAAATGGACATACCTGAAATTTGACTCATGATTCCATGAGGGCATCATTTGTAGAGGCAGATTTGAACAATTCATTAGCTGCGTCCCAAATCGTAAAATTTCTGAGTAGGTATTACATTTGATAAATAACTTATTTTGTAAATGTTAAAAAGTGTATTTGGTTAGTTCACGCAAAAATGAAAATTTTATGATTAATTACTCATCCTCATGTCATTCCAAACCCATAAGTTCATCTTCGGAACACAAAATAAGATATTTCACCCAATCTCATGTTAATCTTGAGTACCTAGAGTAGTACTGCATCCTTCATATCTCCAAAAAGTAAATCATATTTATAAAAGAAAGATACAGTTTTACGATTCTCTTCGGAAAAACCCGAGCTCCTGGAGGTGCGCCGTGGGCGGAGCTAAAGAGTGACGAGCATTTGGGCGCCGAATGCCAACAAAACAGACATCTGATGCCGTTTCACTTACCATCTGCAGTTCTGAATCATGACCGGGATCTTTTATAGCTGGGACTGCTCCATCTTTCAGTATCAAACGATGTGCAAATCCAGCGTCGAACTGGGCCTTGTTTATAAAACATTCGTCAACAAACACACTTGTGAAACTCTGTTGCTGCCCCGGAAAAACAAACTGTATCCACTGTTTACATAACGCTGGGTTCTTTAGGAAGCTGAACAAAGTTATCTTTCCCTTACAACCAAAAACACGCTTCTTTGGATTGGAAACATTCTTCCCGAGCAAGTCCCGTGCAGCGCTGCCGCCGGATGAAGTGTGTTGATGGGCGCGATCTTGCTCTCACTCTGGTCGATGCATGCGCGGGCGCGCTTTTCCGGGAGAAATGCCCATATAAGGAGTTCCACCCTCGTCTACGTCATGAAGAGCCATGATCGAAAAAACTTTCCGAAACTTGTACTAACCCGGAAGTACGATTTTTGTCACAGAAATACTCCGTCATATGTCCAAATTATTTTTTTAAACTTTGTCCATGCTTAGCATGAGAATCCAACTCTTTAACAGTATAAACAACTCTGAATGCATGAAACAGCATTACACCCCCCCTTTAAAGAAATCCGAGAGCTTTCTGACCCTCCATTGATAGCAATGCAACTACCATGTTCAAGGCCCAGAAAGGTAGTAAGGGCATCGTTCATTTTAACAATGTCCATACTACCTTTCTGGGCCTTGAACGTTTCAGTTGTAATGGAATTCAGATGCATTGAATTCTTAATATCCCCATTATTTGATATTTAAAGGCTGCTGTATCTGCGTCAATATCCTCTCCTGTGGCTTCATGGTAAAGTGTCCATCGGATGCACACTTTGGAATCTCGTAATAGTGCTTTTGCCTACTGTTTTATGGATACTATGAATTCAGACTTACTTTACATACTGTTTTCTCCTACTATAGTGAGTAAGTCTGATTTAAACATCTCCTGCTCACCTGCAAACTCACCCACGCATTCGTGAATCATTTTGACTGACTCATTAAAAATAACTGGTTCATTTGAATAATTTGTTTACAAATCATCATACTGTAGGGTATCAGAGTGAATCAGACACTTTAAAATTTAATCAGATTGGTGTTGAACAACCCAAAGAGACAAATTCCACAAAGGGGCCCAGGATGAGACAACAGGATGTTCGTTAATCAGATCCTAGCGCCAGCCAGTCTGAAGCAAGCCTAACTAACCAACTCTTTCACAGAACAGCTTTCAACATTAACACAAAATAACACATTGACCATAACAACTTAGAAAGGAGATTGTCAATTTTGGGGCAAGTAATCAAGATTGATGGTCAAAGAGATGCACAGCATGACCATCACATGTAAATCCATGACAGTAATCACGATCACAAGCTCTTTGTATTGACTTCCCCCCACCTAGAGGACAAGAACCAGACTGAGATTCCTTAGGAGACCTTTTAACCTCTCTAGTCTTCACAGAACATATCCTTACATCCACAGAATGGCACAGACTGCCTTTCCATGTATATATGCACCTACATGACGCTAAAAGGACTTATGAGCAACTAATCATTTCTATGCATAACTCCATATTATGTATGTGACCCATACATTTGTCTATCATGTTCTAATCACTTATTGTGTGTGTATTTTGTATAACTATTGAATAGTTTATAGGATTATATTCATGTTGGGTAAGTATTAGTTTGAAAATTCATGCTTTAAACGTTTCTATCAATCAATACTTTGTCAAATGTATCATATTCTTGTTATAGAAATTAGATAGGACCATGTGACTGATAAGATAACATATGATTTATGAATTGGGAGGAGAAATTTAGTTCTACCAGAAAGACTCAGGAGGTGAACATAGAACTCCAAAGTATTTATTTACAAAAACCAATACAAAGAACATAATTATTTTGGCGTAGGCCCCATCCGTAGCTTGAATCAGACATTGTAGATTCCAGCTATTCCTGCCGAAGATGAAGGCAGGGCAGAGCCTACCCCCGCATGGACGGGGCCAACCTGGTGGTGGTGGGGAGGATGGAGGGAAACGACAGCTCCAGTATCTGCAAACACAATGAAGGGTCAGTAGAGGGCTTTTATATCCCTTGTGTTGCGTGCCGATTGGCTAGATCTAATTGTAATATGTGACGTAGCATTAAGTCTTCCTAGTAGAACTTGCGCTGACACCTCCATTAACACCCCGAGCTAAGACAGTGTCTAATTGGTCCAAACACCAGTTGGGATGTGTCCAACAGCCCAGTTTAAATACTCAGGACACCATCAAATTATGCTTTTTTTAGTCATCGCTTTTAGCCACTGCTTTTAGTCATGGCTCTTTGCCATTACTTTTGCGTTCTTCGAGCGCTGTTCCAGCATGCTTCGGCCTGCACGCCCGCTGCTACTTAGCCACAATGAGAAGGAAACCATCTAGTCTTGTTACTTCTATTCTTCTACTTTAATTTTTGAATAATTTGTTTACAAATCATCATACTGTAGGGTATCAGAGTGAATCAGACACTTTAAAATTTAATCAGATTGGTGTTGAACAACCCAAAGAGACAAATTCCACAAAGGGGCCCAGGATGAGACAACAGGATGTTCGTTAATCAGATCCTAGCGCCAGCCAGTCTGAAGCAAGCCTAACTAACCAACTCTTTCACAGAACAGCTTTCAACATTAACACAAAATAACACATTGACCATAACAACTTAGAAAGGAGATTGTCAATTTTGGGGCAAGTAATCAAGATTGATGGTCAAAGAGATGCACAGCATGACCATCACATGTAAATCCATGACAGTAATCACGATCACAAGCTCTTTGGATTGACTTCCCCCCACCTAGAGGACAAGAACCAGACTGAGATTCCTTAGGAGACCTTTTAACCTCTCTAGTCTTCACAGAACATATCCTTACATCCACAGAATGGCACAGACTGCCTTTCCATGTATATATGCACCTACATGACGCTAAAAGGACTTATGAGCAACTAATCATTTCTATGCATAACTCCATATTATGTATGTGACCCATACATTTGTCTATCATGTTCTAATCACTTATTGTGTGTGTATTTTGTATAACTATTGAATAGTTTATAGGATTATATTCATGTTGGGTAAGTATTAGTTTGAAAATTCATGCTTTAAACGTTTCTATCAATCAATACTTTGTCAAATGTATCATATTCTTGTTATAGAAATTAGATAGGACCATGTGACTGATAAGATAACATATGATTTATGAATTGGGAGGAGAAATTTAGTTCTACCAGAAAGACTCAGGAGGTGAACATAGAACTCCAAAGTATTTATTTACAAAAACCAATACAAAGAACATAATTATTTTGGCGTAGGCCCCATCCGTAGCTTGAATCAGACATTGTAGATTCCAGCTATTCCTGCCGAAGATGAAGGCAGGGCAGAGCCTACCCCCGCATGGACGGGGCCAACCTGGTGGTGGTGGGGAGGATGGAGGGAAACGACAGCTCCAGTATCTGCAAACACAATGAAGGGTCAGTAGAGGGCTTTTATATCCCTTGTGTTGCGTGCCGATTGGCTAGATCTAATTGTAATATGTGACGTAGCATTAAGTCTTCCTAGTAGAACTTGCGCTGACACCTCCATTAACACCCCGAGCTAAGACAGTGTCTAATTGGTCCAAACACCAGTTGGGATGTGTCCAACAGCCCAGTTTAAATACTCAGGACACCATCAAATTATGCTTTTTTAGTCATCGCTTTTAGCCACTGCTTTTAGTCATGGCTCTTTGCCATTACTTTTGCGTTCTTCGAGCGCTGTTCCAGCATGCTTCGGCCTGCACGCCCGCTGCTACTTAGCCACAATGAGAAGGAAACCATCTAGTCTTGTTACTTCTATTCTTCTACTTTAATTTATTTTATTTTCCGTTGAGAGTTTCGTGTTCTGAGTTAAGTTTTGTCTCTGAGTTCACCTCGAGTTTGTGACCGCCTCAAAATTTCAACCAGCCCACAACTCCGCATCTTCAGCCAACACCCAACCACTGGCTTCCGAAGACATCACTTCAACGACTACTGAACTTCCAGCCAATCAGCAACCTCGGGAAACCCCCTTTTCTGCAAGGACAACAACAAAGGGAACCCCCCTACACAGGCAACGCAAGTACCTCCAGATTCTAGCTGAGCTGGTGCATTTAATATAAATTTTAACCTCATTGAGAAACTCAAGGCGAGGGTTAATTAAGTGATTGATGGTTGTTCAGGTCTATGCAACTGCACATATTGCTGTAAACTTGGGATTTCACATTTTCATTCTCTTAAACTCATTATTTCCTCACTTTCTCTCTTCCTGCAACGTGTGTGAATGTGTGAGTGCGTGTGTTTCTGTGTTAGACTAGTTTATATGTCTTAAATTGATCTAATAAAGTCTTATTCATATTGAAAATAGAAGTATCTTGTGTTTTGTGCTTACAAGTTAATGTCTTAAACTGCCAATCGTGTTACTGTGCTAATAAATAGTGTTTTCACTATACTTTGGATATTAATATCCATTGCAGAATTGATTTTATACGGCTCGTTCAATGAATTGCTGGCCGACTCAGTGATCAGCCGTAAAACCGTGATTCTGTCCAAATTCCCTATAAAATCATAAATGATTTCCTTTGAGCTAAATTGACTTAAATTTTTGATTCGCACTGTTTATAGGGCAATTCAGCAAGCGCTGCCGTCCTCTCTAAGAAAGTAAACAACGTCAATGTGTGTGACAAACACAACAGCACATGGACCCACACAATATGGTGGAAGCATTTCTAAGAAAAAATGGTGTTAAAGGTTTTCCTGACTGTTGCCTTGAAACAATTTCATGTAGCAATCTGGAGGCCTAAGAAGCTCTCTGATAGATATAGCAGGGGCGGTTTCTCCATTAGGGCGATTGGGCGACGCACCACCAAAGCGCGAAAGGGAGGGATTTTTTTTCTTTCACATTCAACCAGTGTTACGCTAGCTTTCACTGTTTGTTCTGCCTCTAAATAGTCCAATCAGCGTCGAGTCGCGTTTTGTGTAGTACCGCCCCTTTTTGGGCGATTTCTGTCAGACTGAGAATCGCCCCGAGTGCTCTCATAGACTTCCATACAAAGATCTTTTTTTTTTCGAACTGCAGGCACTGCAATGCAATCTCTATGAGTTCTGGGAGGGCTAGCACTAACGTGCTTTCGTCATCATGCTTAACCTTAACTTGTGCAAGGATTGGTGGGAACGGTGACATCCAATAATATTTAAAAACTATTTTGAATTTTAACAACAAGAAAAAATTAAAAACTACTTTAATATCTTTATCAAATGTGAAAAAAGAAAAAGAAAAAAACAGAGAGAGACGAGGACCGCTAAGCCAACTCAAATTCAGTTGTCAGTTGAACTTGATCGACATCTTGGCGAACGTTACCTCAGCGCAGATTAATTCTAACGTGTCATTGAAAGAAATACCATTCAGTCGTCGTAGCAATAAGGATAAATTGGCAATTAAGGAAATAGGCATCAAATTCTTTAAATTTCATCAAATTTCACCAAATTTAAACATCAAACATGTATCTACAAAGGGCGGGAAGTCGTATAAATGGGGATTTTCGAGGACGTGGTATGAGGGGAAAAAATAGCTAGCGGGCTGCGAAGTAGCAAACGCTTTATACTGCTACCCCTGCATTTTGTTCCATCCCGAAAGCGTGACGGATATCGCATGGACAACTACAGGTGTAATGTAATATAAGTGAGCAATGTGATGTAAGTAAGCAGTGTAATGTAAGGGGGTACTGTAATATAAGTGTGCAATGTGATGTAAGTGAGCAGTGTAATGTTAGTGAGCAGTGTAAGTTAATGTAAGGGAGCAATATAATATAAATTAGTAATGTGATATAAGTGAGCATGTAATACAAATTAGCTGTGTAATATAAGTGAGTAATGTTGAAAATGAGCAGTGTAATATAAGTGAGTTGTGTAAATAGTGATTTATGTTATTTCAATTATTTGAAATTGAAGTAAAACATTTTTTGGAAAACCACATTCTGTCTTCATTTGCTACTGAATTGTGTTAACACGCATATAGAAACATAAGGAGAGCAAGAGATTGATTGTTAGAGTCAGTTTATTTTTAATTAATACTATAATACTTCAGTTTCCTTTACATCTTTAACTAGCCATTAATTTATCAATTAAATGGGTGACCAATCCTCATTAATCATGCAAACATTTGCCCCTCCCCTGAGAGAATTGGCAGGAGCCGCCACTGAGTTATAGTATGTACAGATCATCATAATAATCTATTTTATTGTCATCTTCAAGCCAGTTTCTTTGTTCACAGTAGATTTTCTGTGGAATCTAAAGTATCTGTTTTACTTGGCTGTGGTACTTGCTAACAAAAACAGTTCATACTAGCCTAAAGCTGCAAAATTTGGTGAGTAAAAAGGGCCATTGTTGATTATCAATAGCGTAGCAGCTTACACTGAGTCACTTTCAAACCAAGTAGCTTTCTGTTGGTTAATGCAGTGAATTTGTGTGACAAACAGGAATCTTTTGCAAAATCTGCATGGACATCTTTTGCCCTCAAGTAGAATTCCTAAATGCATGGAATCCCATTGAAATGACTGGATTTTGTCCACAAAAATTCACAGAGCAATGATAAATGTGACTGCACCATAAAGGTGGTTGGTTTCCACTGACTGGTCTAGCTTGGTGGTTTAGTTTTGGGCACTTGTTCGCTCAGAAACACCAGCTAAAACTAGCTTTTTTCCCCTCGTAGCATTATTTGAGTAAGAGATTGCTAGCAGTGCCACGGTGCTAAATTGTAAGAGTTATGGCAATAGTGTTTCAGCGAGATGCAGCTGTTTTCATAGCCCTGCTCGTCAACCACCTCCTCTTACGACCAGCTGTCAGGACGTTTGGCTCATGATGAATGAACACTGTCTACATGATGAAGTCTTCCTGGGAGGTCGTTTGCTCACAAATATCCTCTCAGCCTGGCTTGCGATATTTTCCGTCATAACAAAAACACACCGGATCGACCAGCAGCCTGCTAGCGGCAAGGTTTTATGGTTAATTAATCACGTGGGAGACAATTAATCAAGGACTAATTTCACTTTAATGATTCCTATCAAATTACTCTTTACATTGGGTGGTGTGTAAGTACACGTTGAGAACATCTTCATTTCCGCAGCCTTCCAGACTCACAGAGGTTATGAATTAATAGATTAATTTATTTATTACTGTCTGGTACTTATGATATTCATTAGGGTCTGTTGAGCACAAGCAGAGGAACATATCTCAAGAGTTAAGTGAAGTTAGTGAGAGGTTAAATTATTCTGTGCCTTTGCGGATAGTTGACAATTTATCAAACCCTTTTTCTAAAGAGACAACCAGATGTGAATGAATATTTGTAATATACAGAGGGATCACCAAAAAATATATTATACAGATAATTCTTTTATTTTATATATTTTTTATTTTACATATTTTTATATTTTGTATGTTTTACATGAAGGTAACATCACTACAGTGCTTACAATCTTTTTGATTGTAGATGAGGCCTTTGTCGAGAACTTTTATTTTTTTATTTTGAAATTTTGTTGTAAAAAACATTTGGGCAGATTATTCCGTTGTTAATATATTATACTTCAGATGAAAAATGAATATCTTTGAGAATACTGCCCTGATAACTTCTCTTTATAGTGAAGAAAATTCCAGAGAGCGTAATAATGGAACCACACTGTTTAATTGTACTATCTTGTTGCACTTTGTGTAATGAAGTGTATTCTAATGCACTGAGAAATATTATATGGAAAAATGAACTCTCACGCATTGCTTTAGTTAGGAACATCTGGTTATGGCTGAATCAGAAACGAGTACTCTGGAGAATTAGATCTTTAACTTTTTATTTTTTTTTATTGGGAATTTCTAAGATACTCAATCTTGGATTAGTCTATGAATGGATCCTTTAGAGGTAGAAAGAAATAAAAGACACAAGCTTTTAAAACAATTGCAGGGAGCTACATTTACTCAGTGGAGACGCCAATTACACTGAATGTTAAAGGATATGAATTCAATTTGGGCTAATGCACAGATAATCTGCACCTCATTATAATACGCCTTATATAAAAATAACAATGATTAAACATCTGCTTTATTACAATTACCTCCACTTGTATGAAGCAAGAATGCCCTGCAGCAAAGGATTTCAGACCCTGCTCGGTACGTCCCGAATGATATATCATGAATAATCAAGATCATTATCTCTGCCATCAACAGTGTTTTTCCAGTGTAATTGCCATAAAAAACATCCTTTTAATTGGACCCCTAATTACAAGGGGGAGCAAATGCTCACTAATATCCTAAAAAAGGAAAGAAAGAGGAGAAGTGGTAGAATAGAAATTCACTGTTTAATGAAGAGGAGTTTTAGTAAAGACACTAATAAATAAATAAATAAATTAGTAAATTGCAAAAATAAAAAAGTTGCACTTTTATCGTATAGCTTTCCCCCACTGTTCAGATACCTTTATATATTTTCAACTTAGGATAATTGTAGTTAATTACCAAATGGTTGAAGTATACATTTTGATATATTTTTCACACATTGCACAAGTGTAAGGTTTAACAGAGTAAAACACAGTAAACGGGTTTGGAAAGCGTATAGTGCTTGGAAAAATTTATTTCCACTCTCCTTTATGGACCAGAGGGCTCAAGCAATCCCAAAGCCATAAAGCACTGTAAATCCCAGTTTAACGTTAGTGTATAATCTATAATGATATTAGTGAGCTCTGCTCTGATAGTAAATACCGAGGTGAGTTGCTGGGCTCATGATGAATTGCCATTCGAGTCGCTGCTGACAAATAAACTCCCCATGACAGAGAGATGCATCCGAGGTCAAGTTGCTTTCAAATTGAAAAAAACTTGACCTTAAACTGCTATTTATTTACACTTGTATAAATGTTTTGTGAATGCTGCACACAAACTGTTACAACGTTTGTGTTGACCTCCGTTGGTTTCCATGCAATTTGAGAAACACCTTTTTTTTTTGTAGCCTGTCAATGAAATTCATGAGACTTTATGAAGTTTAAGACTTAAAGATTACTTGAAATTGAGACTTATCTTTTGAATCAACCTTTGGAAATGAGCTGTTTCTTCATCTTTTTGAGTCAAAAACGTCTAAATTACTAGTCTGTTGCTACACTGAAAACAAGTGTGAGAAAGCCATTTTACTCTCACAAGGTTTTGAGAACAGAACAGAACAGTCACTTGTTACATTATAATTTCAATTCGGAAAAGGTGCAATACATTTTACTAGAAGTCAGCATTTAAGTATTTCTCATTAAGCGTTCAGGATTATTATTATCACAGTGTATACAGCTATTCAACTTGATGCTTATTTTTTCCCCTATCCGAAATCTATCTATCTATCTATCTATCTATCTATCTATCTATCTATCTATCTATCTATCTATCTATCTGTCTACGCTTCTTCACTGGGGGGGGGAAGTCGTGGCCTAATGGTTAGAGAGTCGGACTCATAACCCAAAGGTTGTGGGTTCGAGTCTCGTACCGGCAGGGATTGTAGGTGGGGGGAGTGAATGTACAGCGCTCTCTCCCACCTTCAATACCACGACTGAGGTGCCCTTGAGCAAGGCACCGAACCCCCAACTGCTCCCCGGGCACCGCAGCATAAATGGCTGCCCACTGCTCCGGGTGTGTGTTCACGGTTTGTGTGTGTTCACTGCTGTGTTTGTGCACTTTGGATGGGTAAATGCACTAATTCTGAGTATGGGTCACCATACTTGGCCACATGTCATGTCACGTCACTTCTGAAAATCAACTGCCACCACAGAATCTTATGTATCATATGTTATAGCAATATTGTTTATAAAATAGTTTTATTTATTTATTTAAATAAATAAAAATAAAACATTTATTTAAATTGAGTTTCATAATAAAACAAAACAAGACAAAACAACAAAAAACAACAAACAAAACACTTTTTTTTTTTGCATTTTGCAATTTGTTTCAAAATGTCTTTGTGTGTTGTACAGAAATTAGAAAGTTATCCAAACTTATGTAAATAGTTATTCAATGTAAATAGACAGATCTTACATTTTTGGGTTCATGGATTTTATTAAGTAGATTTAGGACCTATTATTTCTTTTTACTAAGTAACCTGTTATTTTTATTTTTTATTTTTTTTTGTTTGTTTGTTTACTTACCTACAAACTATATATATATCCTTGAAAAGTTCTCGTTCCATTTCACAGAAATTTCACATTTTACATTTCACAAAAAAAAGGCTCTGAAAAGGGCATAAGTTGACCTTTGCTCACAAACCTGGACATCTTGGAACTTTAACTGGACTATACAATCTACAATCAAATTCCTGCACAAATGGCAGCACAACCGCAACTAAAAGTATCCAGCCTTTCTTTCAGTCTAAGGTCCAGGTCTCCCAGTCCTGCAATAAGCTC